AGTATTGTGTTTTAATATTTCATAGAAAATTATTCAAATTGTTCGTGTCCGAGCGAGATAGGAAACTGTTTCAAGAACCAACTAAATTGATTCAGTAGGACAATCAGTCGTGAAAGAGTATAGCAACTTATAATGGGAGTTTCTTCCTGCAAAGGATGCTCATTATTTACCCAACTAGGTCAGCGGCATGGAGAACGAATACCTACAGTTTCATTGCAAGAAAATAACTCGAAGATGTAGAAATGCTTTCACGGCAGTTATTCTATGAAAATAATGAGAATTATAAAAGTTACATTTGAAAGAATGAAAAGGAAAATGAGATGAGAGAGATAGAACATATTCTTAATATAATCTAAAATTTGAAATAATCTTTTATTCAAGACATGAGTAGCAGTACATTTCCTAATAATAATTAGAACACAAAATGTAGATCAATTCTTCCCAAAACTAACAATGAGAGTTTCTCTTTGAATAAAATTGTCACGTTCAAACTCATTCATATCCAGGCTACAGCCAGTCACATATGTATACGTATGTACGTGTACTACCTCTAAATTGACAGACAGGGTTTCAGGATTTATTGTTAGAAGTGTAGTCGATTTCGGTTAAGTCGCACTGTTAAGGTCAAATCTTATGCATACCTTCACGGAGGCACTAGGAGAACGAGCACGTTTTCGGGCGTTCACTTAAAAGTCTCGCGATTCCTATGGAGAGTGCCCCGCTTTAGCTCCCGTAATTCGCTTCTACCTAGGGAACGTGACACGGGGACAAATTTGAATTTGCGGCAAACCGTTTCAACGTGAGCCTTTAACTGGAATTCATATAACCTCTTTCATTAGTTAGAAGGAAAGGGAAAGAGATAAACTGAAACGAAGGGTGAAAGAGATAGAAGACCGAGTCGCGGCACGCGAGAGACAGAGAAAAGGAGCGTCAAGACAACAGCCTTAATAGCCGGTACAATGGGCGGATCTTCGAGTCTTTTACGTCGCACTTGACGAAACAATAGTCGAACGAGTAGAGAACGCGGGCGATAGACCGGCGCTGTTGGAGGATGTCGAGGGTGTCGAGGATGCCAAAGAGGGGCTGCTACCACCGGTAGACGACTCGCAATCCGTAGCCCCGGGTCGGGTTTTAACGACGTGCTCGGACACAGTCGCTGCATCTCTCTGCCTCCGATGCACATACTCTCTATCTTTATCCCTCCTCGTTCGTACTATGTACTTGGCCTAGCTCCATCCGTCTTTAAAACTCATCGTTTCGTTCCGTTTTCGTGCACGTTGCAAATCTACGACGCATCAAACTCTTCCATTCCTTCCTCAACGCGAAATGCTATCCTTTGTAAGCGCTGTTAAGGCGTTCAATAAAATAGTTATTCAGTTCTGAGTAATCTTAAGAAATTCTACATTTTGAAAAGGTCACTGTTATATCAAATGAAACAGCATTGTATTAAAAAAATGGAGTTAATTTTCAAATTATAGAATTTATATTTGCCAAAAATAGTTTCTCTAACATTAGCTACTCCAGCGAGAGTCTTATATAATGTTTTTATTAATCGTTCTAATAGTTGGAATCAGCAGTATATGTATGTATATCTGCACATTCTTATTTTTATATTTTCTAGATTAATCCCTCTCCTTTGTCTTCGATCGTGTTGCTCCTCTTCTCTCCCTCGGGTGCACTTATTCCCTTACTCCACTCTACTTAGTCGTAGGTTAGACCTTCATCCCTTTTCTGCCTGTCCACTGTGTCGTCCCTCTTTCACTCCCTGTTCTTTCCTCTCCCGTCGTTCCTAACCACTCTCTGCCATCACTTTCTCCCTTGTCTTACCCTTTTCGTCCCTGTTTAACGTTGAGATTCTAGTGCCTTCACATATCTTCGTCGTTCCTTTCACATGACTTGAGTTTGCCTGCGAGCTACCCCTGTCGCTTAACATCAAAACTTTCGTATCCCTCGTCGAAATCCATTCTCTCAGCCAATGAACACATCCTTTCGCCCGTGCACTGGATGTTCGGCTTTACTACCAGCGATATAACGTTTTACACGAAAATAAGCTGTTCTCTTTGATAATTTTCAGCCCCACGGATCCTGGTTAGGAATTTTGTAGAAAAATTTAAGCACAACGTTAAGGGGTTTTTCAGTCTAAACGATCCAGACAATTAGGATTCTCATAAAAAAATTCTTTAAAAAAGAAGATAATTCAATTTTCAGGTATAATATATTCAATAAATGTTTGACACAATAAATCAGAATTCCGTTTGGAAGATGCCGCCGCTCTAATTAGAAATTGACTGCGAATGCATGAATAACGGAAGTCCGATAAGTTTCGTAAAATTGTACGAATATAACGGTATCCAGCGATGCGTTTCGATGAAACTGCTGGTTGCACCTTTTGAGGCTTGTCGCAAAAGGCGACGCTCGTACTCGAAATCCTCTGTGAACTCGAGCGTATTTTAATAGACTCGTTAAAACTCTGTCCCACCAGAATCTCTGGCAAATAATTACGTAAAATTTGAGAAATTGGGACGGTGCGTTTTTTTTTGTATCCGTTTCGTATTTTTCTTTCTTATCTGTTCCGCGCTATTCGGTTTGTTCTGAAGAGAAAAAGACGTCGCTGCTACAAGAAGCGGTGTGACGAGGTGGTAAGGAAAAAGCGGGTCGACGAGACTTGTTTAAGTGAGAATAAAAAATGTAGGACTGGGGGGAAAAAGGGAAAGATGGACGAACACAAGGAGGAACTCTGAAAAATAAATTATACATTCCGGGCTATCTCAGTGCTTGTTGCCTGCTTGCCGTACGTAAGTCGCAAAGTCCCTCAAAGATGCAGCGATTGCGAAACGGTCCACCTTCTTTCCATACACGCCGATACGTACTTTGCATCCATCCTTGTTTCGTGCTGGTAACTCATTGAAGAAGCTCCGACTTGGTAACGGGAATGACAACCCGGTGCACGCAATATGTACGTCATAAGTTGTGATCAATTTTTAATGAAATAGTTTACAAAGGAATCGCGTAACAAGTGCATTCGTCGAATGTTCGAAGGACTGAAAAAATTAAAAGAAATTCGAAATACAGGTTTTTTATCATTGTGACAGTATACACTTACCTGTAATGAACCTGAAAGTTTGATGAAATATAGTGTATCTCAATACGAATTTTTATGTTTATTTTTTATGCATTCACAGTATTAATTAAAAAAATGTGACCATTATAATAGACAGTCGTCTTTTAATATTTTGTACATTTATGAAAACGGCAAACATCCTTTATATTTACTTCCGATACAGTTTTTCCATTGATGTATAAAATCTGCTGTCTATTCATAACGTTGCCAGCTTATATTAAAATTCTCTAATATCCGCAAACGAATGATAAAAATACATCTGATTTATGAAATTCGGCAAATATAATTGCTGTAGGATAAAGAAAAACAGATGTGTGTGTGTATATGAAAAATGCTTGAGAATGATGAAGATTGTTCGAGACCATAATGCAATCTAAGTGATGGAAGTGATTAAGACGTTATCGTGACAAGTAGTTGATCAGTGTGTGATAGTCGAGCATTAAAAATTTTCCAAAAAATTGATGCACTCAATCGTTGTATACATATACATATACTTCGTTCTTCGCGAGTAAGGCAATTACCAATGTGCATAGTTAAACGGTGGTTACAATGAACGATCGTGAAGCTCTCACGTGTGAGCGTGTTTCCGAAAGGATTATTGGTGAAACTTTAATCTTCTATCGTATGCAGTGCCATGAATTATTCAACAAGCCACTGAAATTATACGCGAAACTACCAATAACTGAAAACATACTTATGATTTATCAATATTCTACAACTAGTGACATTACTAATAGCTCATATATGAATTGATAATTTTGATATATTTAATGAGAGACTACATAATAATGTATAGTAACTTATTATTAATATGAAGAATTATACTGCTAGGAAGATTTTATTATAGAAATTCGCTGTGCGGAAAATAGAACGACACAAGTGTACATAATTATTTTCTAAGGCTAAAAGAAATCTCAATTTAGATTTCAATTTTCAATCGATACTACGAAAGTTTTAGTTTGCTTAAAAATTCGCAGTCTAATGATTATGAATCTTTATTCGAATTGTTTAAAACAAAATTCTTTGATTAATGTTATACGTTATAAATTGCAAGCCGCAGAACATCGATTTGACTACAAACTTTCCATCGTCGCGTTGTTTGAATTATCGGTGTGTCGCGGAAAGCGAGCGCGACAATTTTCCAGCGAAAACACGGTCACGATGCGGTATGGTGTACGCAAAATACACGGGTTCGAGTCTTCGAAAGCTCGCCGCGCATACAACAATCATCAAGTATAATACCCGTAGCCTTTCATTCCGTCTAAGCACCGCACACCTACACCGTCGCGCCGATCGGTCGTCAGAGGAGAGACCCCGTCACAAAGCGGAACAAAAATCACGCTAGGATTGCAACAACACGACAGAAAGCGCGAAGAAAGGGGTAGAAACGGCTCACGGATTGGATCAACCAGCCGTGCAGTCGCGTTCCACTCTTCGTCGAGAATAACTCCTGAAAAAATGTCCCGCGAACCAGACTGATTATCATTCGTCCATGGTTTTCCTTCGAGTCGAACGTCTCGAACGGGATCAACGTACCTTGGGAAGAACCTCGCGAACAATAAGTAAAACAATACCGAAAAATGAAAGGAGAAGAAACAAAAAAGGGAGAAGAACAGAAGCGTAGCGCAGCAGAAGGAAGGAAGACCAGACAAAAGTGTAACGCATCACGAGCATCTCCGAACGGTGGGTGCGTGCAACGACCGCGCACCGTGCGTCCTCAGTTTCATTCTTTGTAGCACCTGCAACCACCCTTCCCAACCCTTACGACTCGAACGAAGCGAGAGGGTGGTTTGGAGAGGAGGGTGCGAGAAGGATCGCGACAGGTCGACGGGGAGAGGGTTGGACGCATGCGTGGCTAGAGTCGCGGGGGTTCCCGGCACGATCAGTCGTGGCCGGCGGTGCCGGAGGCCAAAGACTTTCGCGAGGGTGGACGCGCTGCGTTTTCTGCCGGACCTCTTTCGCTCTATCTGTCATCTGTTTTGTCCCCTCCTCTCCGCGCCGCGATTCGCGATCTGCGAGCTGGTCCTGGCACGTATGACCCTGCTCCGCCGCCGCGTGCACTTTCGCGGTCGGCTTCACCACCATCGACGTCGACCACGATACCGATCGACGTGTCATCGCGACTGGTACTCGGATCGGCGAAGTTGTTGAATCATCGCGAGTCGGCGACGTCGAAGGGGATCGAGAACTAGCGGACTGTGATCTCAATTCGGTTTGCCGAAGACCACGTTTACATTTCGCGATCTTCGCCACGGTGTGACGTCCTCGACCGGCGACACGACTGACTTCCGCCGGGTGCAAGGTTGACCAACATCCAAGGACACAGGATCGAACGATGCTGGCCCGCTGCCTAATCTTCGTCGGTAAGTCTTTTATATTGTCCGATTCTTCTTCCGCGTGTGCCAACGTTCCGGATTACGCACGCTCGCTGCTTGAGTTCAAGAAGATAGTGAAGATTAATTATCTTCTCATGGTTCAATGTTGGATTATTTTCATCTGTCACCGGAATCTAAGAATACAGTGAAGTTTTATCTTTCTCGCGTGGATCAGTTCCAGATTGCTTCCATCTGTTACTCTCACTTACAGCAGTACTTATTAGTGGAATAATTTTCGAATGACTATAAAGGAAGTTAGGAAAGAAGAGAATGCATTAAAATTCGGTCCTAGACTCATAGATTTCTTTGTATACGATGGAAATTCACAGAATATTCAAGAACGTCATTCCCATTTTTCCCCTCTTCTTTTTTTAATACGGACGTGACGGATAAAAGAACGGCCAGATCTCGTCGCTATCTCTGACAGAATTCTCCGGCGCGTGAAATTAGCGCGAAAAAAAGGAGGTCGACAGTTTCAGCGACAGTTCCTCGGTGCTACAATGCTATTTCAGGAAAAACGAGCACCTTCCGCGAGTCGAGTTCGCGTGTTCCATCGCGTCGCGGGTGCACACGTACGCATTTTCCTCGTATTCCGAAAAGTTTCGACTGACAGCGGGTATTGGAAACGAGATAACGACGAGCACGTGACACCAGTGTAAACCTGATTTTGTGGAATAGAATCTGTGCATTCGTGCTCCTATCGAACGGAACCGTGAAAGAGCTACGCTACTTTATGCTACCAAACTTCGGGTGCATGAATACGTCACGGACACCAGTGAGTGAGTCATGCGTGGGGACGTTCTGTATACGATACACTTGTCCCCAGTGAGACGTGCCCCGTACTATTTGAACGATCCGTGTAAGTACGTGACTTCTGAAAACAAACGGTGCGCGAATTGTTTTCGACTCACTACGTAGAGCTTCGCGCCCTTTTTCTACAAAGAACAGTCAATCGGGATTCGAATGATTCAAATTCTTACACGTCTCCATACATTTATAATTTATATCGTTTGTTGCACAAAACATTATTTTATTTATCACGTTCTCCTCACTGACAACAGGAATTTACAGATTATTAACTGTGAATTATACGCATTCTAAAACTGTAAAGCTCGCCTCTGGAAAATGTTTAATTCCTGCGCCATTCTGTGCAAACCAGGTTCTCGTCAAATAATTTTCAAGCCATAAAACGCGACCGAACGAACCACCCTTGAAGATGAATATAGCCGACCATAAAAATGAACGACTTTCACTCTCTCATTAAATTTTCTTGGCCGTCGGCGGCGTTCATTTAAAGTATTATAAAATCGTTGTTCGTGCACAGACGGACGACTTCATTTGGGCTCGAATCGGAAATTGCTGCAAAATCTGAAACACGGTTAACGAAGTACGTCTATCTCGCATCCTCTTTCACCGCGTAGAAAAATTCTCGATCAAGAGATGACGTACGTCCGTTCGAGGAATATATCTCTTGAAAATTTTCTCTTGAAAAAGTCTCGTTAGAGAGTCAACGCCTCTCCGCTGATGGCCAAGCAAAAAGCTAGACTGTAATTTTATTCGGGAGAGCGCGCGCGCGCGCGCACACTCGCTCTCGTCGCTCCTAAAGTGTGCATATTCAACCCAAAAATTTGCCGGCGAAAGACTCGAAAAGAGACCGAGCATTCGTGCGACGTGCGTATGCTTGAACCTAGAATTAACTGCAATTCATATAACGTAAAGCGACAAACAGAAAAAATAGAGAGAAGTAGTCGAACCATAAAAACGGTTCGAGAGTGAAAAAAATTCTCCTTTCTTAATTTTCAGCTAGCCTCTGTATCTTTTACAGTACTCGTAATTACACTGGGCAAGAGAAAATAGAAAATGGTAACTGCTCGCTAAAGGTCAAACACCTCGGCATTCCAAGCATATAATTTTTATTGCTCGAACGCCGATAAAAGCAATGCTGCTAAACATCCGTTGAAATATCTTTTTACCTTTTGCTTAATGTAATAATATTCATAACCTTCAGAAAAAAGGAAAATACGAAGGAAAGTGGTCAAAGTGCGGGAGATTCGTTTTCGCATCAAGATCCACAAAGGGGCAGCGTCCGTCTTATTTGCGTTGAGAAAGAACAATACGTTTGTCTGAACAAGGACGAGACGACATCGTTCAGACAATGAAGAACGTCGATAATGATCGCGACGCATCTTAAGACCTCTCTCGTTAACTTTTTGCCCGGTTCTTTCGCTTCTTGCAGGAAGCTCTCTGTGCTTTCCTGAAGGAGCTCGCCGTTTGCCCACCCCCTGTCACCCCCTCTGCCGGGACGCTGTCCTCTCTCCTACCGTTTCGCACTAATTGCGGACAATTCCAGACTTTAAATCTCTCGAATCTCGAAAGCCTTTAATCTCGACGGCCGAGCCTTAACGACGTCGCCGTGTTTCGTAGGGCGACAGTTTGAAATTTAAGCGCTCGAGGGGGCGGAACAGACACCCTTAATAAGGTTCCTCCATCGTCTCATCCTTCGACCGCCCACTTCCCACTATCTCTTTCCGCCCTGTTAGGCTGTTCGAGCTTGTCTTCAGTTCGCTCTTTCTTCGTCTGGCCTCGTTCACTGTGTGTGTGACTAGGTGCACATGCTACACGTTAATGGAATATTTTAATGGCTAAGCAAACCTTTAATCAACCTTTGTTCACCATCAGCGCATTGTGTGAAATTAGGAATAAGTAGATGAGGTACACGCGTTGTCTTACTACATGGATGCGAAGTAGAAATGGTATACAGGCTACAGACATGATTCGAATTAAGTTGGCAAAATCTAGTTAGCTGAAACTGATTCTGACAATTGCTTTCTGCGCATTTATAAGCCAGGCTAAACTAATTCGTAATTACTGATATTGATTGATTTCGAATTTATCCTACTACAATCCATGCGTGTCACAAAAGATCATGATTTTCAATTTACGTATTGCTCGTGATATAAATGAGCATAGGCGAATGTCACATAGGACCGAAAGGGATTACGCGTAGCGCGAAACGCGGGCACACTCCGGAACGACAAAATTGCTGGTTGCGAGTCGAATCTGACGCGCGGAATCGATGCGAAACTAAATTTGAAATGTTCATCGGCAACACTCGTGGAAAGTTACTTCTCGAATGGGCGTGCGAAGTTACTCGGCCGAAACGAAACTCTGCATCTCTCTAGCTAGCAACCCGGCTGTGTCGGGCGAACTGGGCTCGCAAAAATGCTTGTTTCCGAATATGATATAATTATAGCGGAACCGTGTAATTAAAATTTTGAGCCGCACGTTACCTGCCTGCTTCACTTTTTCCTTATTTGCTCCGGTTGATTCGTATCGTTTTTTCAACCGGGATAAACTCGACCGAGTAGTACGAACGAACGAGCGAGAGAAGTATCGATCGAGGTTTATCGCGAGATGTCAAGCGGGAAGGTTGTTCTCGAAAAAACAAAGCGACCAAATCCGTTGTATGCGAATAGCTTAATATGTACTCTGTCTCTGCGAGAAATAAAAATGCGTGGGAAAACAAGGACAGGACGCGGCACTGCGAGTGCTGTCACTCACTGTGAAAATTATCGCTCAACTATCCTTGCGGTTGATTTGCACACGGATTCCTAGACAGTCTGAAGGGTTGACTCGGAGAGATGGCGGAGCGAACGGCGGAAACGAGAGACACGGGAAAGATACACCTATCCCTTTCCCTCGCCGATAGTCGCGTACTCCGATTACGCGGATAATGCGAGATAATGTGACGGGCCTACATCCCGATGGGCGCGGCCCATCACGTTAAATAACTTATTTGCTATGAATATAAACTGATTCGTGCACTTTGAACTACCCACTTATGGGAACGAGCGCTCTCGTCAACGTACGGACACTTCGTGTTGCAACCCTGTTCCAAACTTTCACGCTTAATGGACCTTTCACATTACCGTAACGCAACCGTACTGTAAGAAAAATCTGACGTGTTGGGTGGGGGGAGATCTGTGTGCGAAATTTTGGGCTCAAGAAATGCTTCCGTCGTAAGAAACACCACCGCGTAAAATTTTTCTTACGGTACGGTTACGTTGCGGTAATGTGAATGGGACCTAACGCGACCTAATTTGTGACATTTTTCGGTCTGTATTTCATTCCTACCCTCGGTTTTTGTCGAGAAAAAGTAGCACGGCGCGACGTAGAGAGTGCGACTATTTGAATTTTCGGTAGCAATTATCACTTGAAATCCTTATTCAAAAAACTGAGTGAGATAGAAATTCATTCTATGGAGATTTATATGCAAATTGTATATAAACTGACATACTTCCAAGGTTCACGTTTCAAACTTTTATTATTTCTGTTTTAATGAAATCGTTGTGCATGTATGTAGATCCAAGCGAGTGATCTTACACGAAAGAAATTCAATTTTATGATCATTCTTAAAGCTGATGATTTTTCTATTGAGGCTGATTATACAGAAATAGTAACTGGAAACAAGTGCAACTGTAAACTTTGCCATTTTGACTTGTTCTGCAAACCGATATTTCCCTGCTAAACGTGTATGGTTCAGGAAGCGCGTAACAGCAACACAGGGTAGAAGTTATAAGTTGAAACCGTAATTGCGCGCTCACACGTAACATACCATTGTACACCGTTGCTTATATTTCTTCTTCTTGTTATCGTGGAAACCATGCAATCATTGGATTCCTTTGTGGAATGGCAAAAGGTTAGCGTGCTTTCAGTTAGATGTTCATGAATCGAATTACAGCCAACGCTTCCGAATTCAATTCAATGTATTCGTGTTTAGTGAAAGCATATTCAATTCGTTTTCGCCTCTATTATACTCTGAAACTTTTTTTTAACTCGCATTTAATATTATTTCGGGCTTGTAGGCTTGCATCGCGCTCCTCCGTTGAAAGAGCATTTCTTTTACCATTTTTTGCGATCAAACATTTTTAGCTAATGGGAATAGTAATAATTTTATAAAGACCTTAAATTTCTGAGTTAATAACTAA